AGTGCTACTATTATCAGATGCTACATATGAGTAGAAATCTCCTTTACTTTGATTGAATTTGTTTTCATGCTTGTAATCAGTGACTTCAATACTAAACTGATTGATTGAAATATCCTTTTCAAAAGTATCAACTGAAGCACGTTTAATTCGCATGGCTAATCCTTGCTTTGAATCAATCCATTCAACTTTGCTATTCTTATAGTCAAAGTTATAGAGGAATACATATTCAGGAGCCTTGCCAAGTACTAACTTCAAAAACTCAAACCAATTTTTGAAAAACTCAGGCTTTAGTACTTTGATGATTTGAGTTTCGTAATTATATACCTTAGCATTCTTGAACTGATTCATATAAAGCTCACATTTACTAAAATTTCTATCATGTTTGAAGTATTTTAATGATTTATCTTTTGTCTTTGCAACAGATGGTCATATGAGACCAATTATCACGTAATGCCGGCTGGAAAACATAGCAAGCCATAATCATCAAATTTTGATATTCTTTACCAAATGAATGCAAATTCAACCCATTTTTGCCTTTGCTTGCTAATTCATCAATCTTTGCCTTTGTAAATCGTTCTCCAATTCCATATTTCTGAAATAGATCAATGAATTTATTAGCTAAGGTTTCGCGCAATGTTTCGAGCTCTTCATATGTATCAATCTGATGCTGAGTCGCACGATTATCATTGGATCGATCATTCTTGCGGGTTTCGTACTGTTTATAATGATTTTGATACCAATCATATGATTTCTTAGTAATCGGACGTTTATCTACTGAATCTAATGCACTCATAATGTAATTGAATCGATTAAAAATAGTTGAGTCATTAGAACTATCAAAGATACGCTTTGAAACCATCTTAGTATTGTTTAAAAACTTTAAATCACTGTGATCATTTTCCTTATCAATTGATGCCAAAAACCCGATACGAGATCGTAAAGTAGTTGGACTTATATTTTGATTTGAAATTAATTCAGTGAGATAATCTTTTAACAATGACATTGCTATAGTATATTGCATATATTTTTTTGTTAAGATAGAAAACTTTTTTGTTATAGTAAAATAAAGTATCTGGATATTATACATATACGATACGTATTGTTCCATGAAATATTTCAACTGAATCTATGGCATATTTACCCCTTTACGAAACATTCACGAAACAAACTCCTCAAACTCTATATTTCGCCATATGGCAGACTTTCATGAAACAAGCTCACATAGGTCGACTATTTGCACAACTCGCTCCAGCTCTGGCTACCGCTGCTACAGCTCGCCGACTGGAATTACGGCATGTCTCCTTGGGCGTCCGCGAGTGTCGGTGTTTGCGTCGCAGGCAACCTTGCGATATGCAACTACTGCAACGTCGCTGTTCGATGCTATCTTCTTTGGCACCGACAACATATCACTGGCAACGTTCATGCAGTTGCATGCAAACATGTAAGTAGCATTGTCGAGGTGTGCCACATCTCTTGCAGCCCTTCTTACATCCGTGCACGCAGGATTGGGCTATCGAAGACTCCCCAAATCGTGGACATCGAGGTACGTGGTCGACGAGATATGACCTTCTCATGCACCCCAAGATCTACTTGATTCAGCATATTACGTCTCCTCCGACAAAAGTATGGGCAAGGCGCAATAAGACACCACTTTCAGTCAAGCAGTTTGCGCTGGATTATAACCTACAGGTTCATCGCATCCCAGACAATTGTACGTCTCCCGAGGACTGGGTGTGTCAATAATGTTGACGGTGGTATGGTAGTATATCACTCAAGGACTGGGACATGCCAGCCACGAACGGGGCCTTCGACATCGGCGTCGTGGTGTCGTTTGAATACTTCATCGTATGCTCTGTACGTTGTTACTTATCTCACACTGCATCGATAGCATCCGCACATGCTGCCTAATGTGAGGCAGTGCAAATAACATACATCCGTCGTTCGTTCCAAGATATTCCACCCCTCGAGGAATCCTGCAAGCCTTCTTGACGTTCTCGTAGTACCGACGACCGGCGCCGATTCCCCGAGCTCTCTTGCACGAGCGTTCAGTAATCGAGATCGACATATTGTACATACCTTAACCACGTTTTCGACTGCCTTTTAATGCGTCGTCACTCATCGTATCATCAATTCCGTCACGCAGGGCGTTCAACGTGGGTCGCATCCTCACGGATTTCTTGCCTTAGCACTTTTCTAGGGCAAGAGCAAACACTTGGAAGAGACAATCTCGACGCTCAAGTTGGCACAACGCATGACGTGTGTGCAACAAAATGACGTCGATCGTGGAGTCGGACCCGTCCATTTTGATTAAATCGCACGAGAAACAGATCAACAACGACACCAAGGAGGATCCGGTGGAGGTGGACAAGGGCGACGCGTACAGGCACTAAACTCTACAGCATGTTAGTCATTTGAGAAGGTTACTGAGCTATCTGTCATGTATTGGATGGAATACATTCGGCGCCGAGGCGAGTTCTCTTGATGCTTGAGTATTGTAACATGGCCTTACATACCAACGCACAGAGGGGTAGTAGTTTGGGTCCTCCGACCACACACGATGAGTGATCCTTTTCCAAACAAAGTGTCAATCGTGTAATCGTTGTGTCGTATTGCCTCCTCGTGCTGCTGACCACGCGGAGAGCTATTATGTCGCGCCCGGCTCCACAGACGCATTGACTTCACTATGATTTCAATTTACGGCCATCGCCAAGTGGCTCCGACTGGCCATGGCGCCACAGCCGAACAAAGCAATAAGAATCTGCAGTAGATATCTTTCCGGATACCTGTGTTTCGTAAAACCATAATATGGTAGCATATTTCCAGAATCATACAAACTTTAAGACAACTAGATCAACATATTTAGGCTTTACAAATATATGGAGTTACGAAACAAACAAGTTTGTTTCGTAAATCCATACTATTTCTGAATATTATGAATTGGATATTGTAATTTAGCAGTTAGATCTAAAAATAGTTGTTTTTTGCGCAAGAAAAATCCGCATAATCATCAGGATTGCGCAAGTATATCTTGCGCAAAAGCAATATATCTTCTGAGACATCGCGTTTGAGAACTTGCAGAATGTATAGAAAAGGTGAAACGGATAGATATATGGTTCTTGCGCAAGTACACTATCCGGATTGTTGTTTCGAGAGCTCACACCGCTTCACAGCGGCACCAAACGTCAATGGATCCAACAATTGCAGCGAGTTGCGCTGATGGGCAACAAGCTGGTGATGATATAATTGCCTTGCGTATCGTTCCGTCTACTCGCCAGCAGTACAGGTCAATTCTAGCGCGGTTTTCCCGTTGGCTCGAACAATACTCCCCCGAATCACTCATCGACGGCAAGGTGGCCCTCCCTGTGACCAAGGCTGTGTGCCAAAGGTTCCTCGCATACATATCCATCAAACGCGACTCGAAAGGACGCGAAATAACTCCTCGCAAGCACAATTCGTACTCAACCATAAATGGATTTTCCAACGCAATCAAGCATCTTTACAAGGAAGAAGGCCTCATCCTCAGCGACGAGCTATTGACCATGCTACAGGGTACGTGACGTAATCTTTGTTCAATTGTGCTACAACGCTAACCACAAGTAGATTTTTCCAACGGATACAAGCGCCAGATTGCTTCCCTCAAGCAAAACGGAGACCACCCGATCTCCGAAGGTAAAGCTCCGCTAACGCTCGATGGTAAGCTGTACTTGGATTGAAGGTCACGGATTCCCATAATCAAATTGTCATGTGACATAGCGTTCAAGTTTCTGGCACAATGTGCTATGGAAATGGG